CCTGAAATAATAAGACGCGAAATCATCTGACAGGATGACGATGGGGAAGATCTTGACTGAGCGTGTTCAGCTTTCACATGAGAGATCGAGTAGATGATTTATGCTGCCGAGATGCGGTAGGGCCACAGGAAAGGTTGTTCGGGAAGCTAAGCAGCTATGTTAACGAGTATCCCGAAGCTTCTCAAGTCTCGTTTTTGTTAGTTTTTTTCACAGGATTTAGAGTTTAACGTTGCTTCTCGGATTGCCTGGTAATTCTAAACCCTAGAGCATGAACTCTACATCTTAATCTTCAATACTAAAACCTAAACCCTAAACCCTAAGTCGAAATCTTTAAACCCAAAACATTGAAATGATAAACCTTAGAGTCTCAATCATATAATTAAAGTCACGCAAGAATCGAGTGACTCAAAGCTCCCAAGTATCGTTTTTTTCTGGATGTTGTTTTTTCTTTAGGGTTTAGAGTTTTACGGTGCTTCTCAGACTGTCTGGAGATGAATGGCCCTTGCTGGATCTCAGACGTCGAGGCATTCAAGCATAGGTTCCTGGATGCCAGAGCTAATTCTGCAGGATGTTGCGGTTCTGTGTTTCAGTGCGGACAGTCAGATCTCTAGAGCGCGAGCCACTACCATCTACAGGAAGAAAAGGAGACAAGCACATCCAGAGATGCTGGACTCAGAGCTGCTCGCAGCATGTTAGTTTTCCAAGCACAGCTCTGAGCAAGAAAGCTGGAAGGCGTCTTAGATGAGGATCACGACCTTCAAGGTTAGGGTTTAAATATGAGAGTTCAAGGGGTCAGGGTTAAGGCTCAGAGTGTTTCAAGGCGGAGGGTTTAATGTTTTCGATTTAGGATTCGGAATTAAGGGTTTAAAGTTGAGGGTGTAAGGCTTAAAATCTAGGGAGTAGAAACTGACGAGGAATGTTAGACAGGTGGAGATGTATGATCAGCTCCGAGCTCGAGCTCAGTCTCAGGACTCTCTCCATCTGTATCTTCATCTACGCGGGGAGTTTGTTTAGTAAAGTAAGGCCCTTGTGGGTTTAAGGTTCAGGGCTTAGAGTTCAAGGTTTACAGTTTAAAGTTTAGGGTTTAGGGTCTATGGCTTATGGTTTAGTGGATAAGGTCTCTCTGGAACCTCAACTGGCCGGGTGCAGATGAGCAGAGACCCTTTTTAAGCTGCATCATAGAAGGGGCTCCCTAAAACCTAAACCCTATGCCCTAAACCATAAACTTAAAACCCTAAACCTTAAACCCTAAACCCTAAGCCATAAACCTTGTAGGTTAAAGCCTAAACCGTGCAGTTTGTTTTTGCCATGTACAGCTTATCTGAAGCGCGAGCCATCACGACTTATCTTAGTAAAAGCGACACACATAAGCAGAAATGATGGACTCGCAGCTACTCGCAGCAAGTCAGTGTTTCAAGCAAAGCTATGAGCAAGGAAGTGAGAAGATGCATCGGACTACAGTCACGACCCTAGAGCTGAACGTTAAAAGTTCGGACTTCGTGGGTTTAAGGTTAACTGTTACAGGTTTCAAGGTTTAGGAGCAGATTTTAAAGATTAGGTTTAAGAAGTTAGGGTTCAGGGCTCAGAGTTTAAGGTTTCAGGTTCAGCACAAAGAAACGCTGAGGAATGTTAAAGAGGTGGAGACGTATGAGCATTTCCGAGCACAAGCTGAGTTTAACGGCTCTCCTGATCTGTTTTTGTCTGCGCTAGGAGTGTGTCTACTAAAGTGAGGCCCTTGTGAGTTTGGGGTTTTGGGCTTAGTAAATCCTGCAGGAAGTAGTGGCTTTGTGTTTCAATGCGGACAATCAGATGACAATCAGATCTCTAGAGCACGAGCCAGTATCGTCTAGAACAAGAAAAGGCGACAAGAACATGCAGAGATGCTGGACTCTCAGCATGTTAGTTTTGCAAGCACAGCCCGCAGCAAGGAAGCTGGGAGGCGTCTTAGATCAGGATCACGACCTTAAGGGTTAGGGTTGAGATATAAGGGTTCAAGGGATTAGGGTTAAGGCTCCGAGTGTTTCAAGGTGGAGGATTTAATGTTTTCGACTTAGGATTCAAAGTTAAGGGTTTAAAGTTCAGGGTGTTAGGCTTAAAATCTAGGGAGTAGAAACTGATGAGGAATGTTAGACAGGTGTAGATGTATGAGCAGCTCCGAGCTCGAGCTCAGCTTATGACTTTCTTCATCTGTGTCTTCTTCTGCGCGGGGAGTTTTTGAAGTAAAGTAAGGCCCTTGTGGGTTTACGGTTTAGGGCTTAGAGTTCAAGGTTTAGGATTTAGAGGTTAAGGTTTAGGGTCTATGGCTTGTGGTTTAGTGAATAATGTCTCTCTGGAGCCTCAACTGACCACGTGCAGATGAGCAGAGACCTTTTTTGAGCTGCATCATAAAAGGGACTAAATCGAAAACCCATAAACCCGAACCTTTAAGTATAAACCCTAAGCCTATACCCTAAACCCGAAACTCTAAAATCTAAACCCTATCCCCTAAACCATAAACCTTAAACCTTAAACCCTAAACCATAAACCTTGAAGGTTTAAACCTAAACCGTGCATTTGTTTCTGCAATGTACAGACTATCCGAAGCGCGAGCCATCATGACTTACCTTGATAAAAGCGACACGCATAGGCAGAGATGATGGACTCGCAGGTACTCGCAGCACGCCTGTGTTTCAAGCACAGCCATGAGCAAGGAAGCGAGAAGATGCGTCGGATTACAGTCACGAGCCTAGGGGTGAAAGTTAAAAGTTAGGACTTCGCGAGTTTAAGGTTTACTTTTAAAGGTTTCAAGGTTAAGGGTCAAAAAATAAAGATTAGGTTTAAAGGGTTGAAGTTCAGGTTTCAAGGTTTAACGTTTCAGGTTTAGGGAGTAGAAAGCTGAGCTATACTTGAACAGATCGAGACATGTAGTGGACGCGTTCATTTAAGAGCATATATATTCCTATATTTATCGCGTTTGGCTTTGTTTATTTAAGAGGGCTTATAAAAACTAAGCCAAAAGAACCCTAAAGGTCTCAGGCTCATATATGTATATGTTTATTTATCGTTGGCCACCGTCAGGCTACCGGTCAGGCCCTGCAGTGCCTGAGGCCAGAATGGCTACTGGAGACCCTCGGCCAACTGGGTGGGACTTCTCAACACGCCTTCGTCCAAGGGGAAGAACAACTACGCGCGCTGCGCATTTCGCACGTTGTCCGGGGCCCACCTGCGCTTGTGGCAGACCCAGCCTTTCTCCTTGCTCCCAGGAACATGTGGACGGCTCTGTGCAAATACCGTGTTAGCCAGCACACCCTTTGTGCCCCTTCCCTTGCCGAGGGAGCATGTGCATGGGCTGACCAGCTCCAAGAGTTTGGACAGCAGAACCCGGGGGGTTTTGTTTTCGTTCACCTCTGCGGCTTCAGGTTTCGGTCTGTTGAGCTCCCGGCCCCCCCCAAGCAACTCCGGGCCCTGCATACCTCTAAGCAACATCTTCTGGATTCACTCCTGGTTGCGGCTCAGCCCTGGGGCAGAGGTGCTCCTTTTGCCTTCCACTTGCCTGTCTCCACTCGTGCCATCGCTCCAACACTCCTCGATTGTCAAGGAATTTGGGAGATAAGCCGGGCCAAGGGCTGGCTCCTCTCCAATGTGGCCCCGACAGAGCTGGAGTCTACTTTCCCATTCTGTTTCACTCTTCTTAATTAGATGCAAGCTTTGGCTGCATCCTGACGGATCCGATGCCTGAAAGAGAGAGAAGAGATATGTTTATTTATGTATTATTTCTATTTATTTATGTAAGGGGTTATATAGGGGAACAAGAGAAAGGGTTCCTTGTAGGGGTCCTCCTTATACCCGCCTATTTTGGTGGGCAAGGCCGCCACCCGGATGAAGCCCTCAGAAGCCCTTCGGGCTTGAGGTTTAGGGTTTAAGGTTCAGGGTTTAAGGGTTTAAGGGTTAGGGTTTAGGGTCTAGGGTCTAGGGTTTAGGGTTTAGGGTTTAGGGTTTAGGGTTTAGGGTTTAGGGTTTAGGGTTTAGGGTTTAGGGTTTAGGGTTTAGGGTTTAGGGTTTAAGGGTTAGGGTTTAAGGTTTAGGGTTTAGGGTTTAGGGTTTAGGGTTTAGGGTTTAGGGTTTTAGGGTTTAGGGTTTAGGGTTTCGGGTTTAGGGTTTAGGGTCTAGGCTTTAGGGTTTAGGGTTTAGGGTTTCAAGGTTTAGGATGTAGGGAAGGTACCTTTTTAGGGTTTCCATCTTGGCCTTCGGCACCAAAGAACCCTTCGAAACCCCTTAACATTCTTCAACCTCACAGCGCATAGAGAGTCCTTGAGGGAGGGGGGTCTTAGGGAATTAGGCAACCCAATGTTCCTTCATTCTCCCTGGTCACTACCTCTAAACCCTAAGCCCTAAACCCCCGGAACCCTAAACCCTCAACCCTCAACCCTAAACCCTAAACCCTAAACCCTAAGCCCTAAACCCTAAACCGAGGGTTCCTAAGTTTTTCTGGGTTGCCTCCCCCTTGGAAGCCCCCCTCCTCCCTTAAGGGCACGGTACCATGATAAACTCGGGGGCGTTGTGGTTTAGGTACAAAACCCTAAACCCTAAACCCTAAACCCTAAACCCTGAACCCGAAACTGCATTTAACAATAACTTTTGGGGTCTCAGCACAGGAAGCCCTCTGCTGTCCGCGGACCACTCGACCCAAACCCCCAGCCCAAAACCCTCCGACCCTCCAAACTAAAACTCTCAACCAACAGCTTCTTCAGGGTCTCGCGGGTTAGGCTTCCTAAACCCGAAAAACTAAACGAGAAACCTACCTCACTCCCCCTAATTGGAGGTTCATGGGTAATTAGCAGTAGGGCTACACGTACCCTAAGTAAGGTTCTAAGTGTAGTTACCCTACCTATAGCCCTACTTATAGCTACCCATGAACCTCCGAGCAACCCTAAACCCTAAACCCTAAACCCTAAACTTGCAAGTAGGGTAATCCCCTAACCCTAAACCCTAAACCACCGGCAGCTCTCTGCGGCCCGCGCTTGCCGGCGCCATTGTGGCCGCAAATCACCAGGTGCCTACCAGGCTCAACCTGCGCGAGGGTCAGGGTTTAGGGTTAAGGGTTTAGTGTTTAGGGTTTAAGGTTCAGGGTTTAGGGTCTAGGGTTTTGGGTTGCCGGAGGAACAACTGAGGATTTAGGGTGCGTGTTTTTTTTTTTCTTCTTTTTTTTTTTTGGGGGGGGGGGGGGGGGGGGGGGTTTAGGGTTTAGGGAACCCCCTCAACCCTAAACCCTAACCCCTACATGAATTGGGGCGGTTCTACTGGTTAGGTTGCGTTTGCGGTTTGTTGTCGACGGCTTTTGTTTCGAAACGAAAGCTGGAAGCCCAAGGACTCAGTGGTTTAGGGTTTAGGGTTTAGGGTTTAGGGTTTAGGGTTTAGGGTTTAGGGTTTAGGGTCTAGGGTCTAGGGTCTAGGGTTTAGGGTTTAGGGTTTGGGAACCCTCATACCCCCAATCCAAAAAAGCAATCGAAACCCGAAAGCCCTAAACCCACAAAACCACAAACCCGAAAAAACAAAAAAAAAAAAACATACCCCCTCAAAACCCTATCCGTAAACTAGACCCTTAACCCCAGCAACGATTCAAAAAACCCGGGCCCTTCTAATCTTCTCGGGAGCCTTGAACGTGAGGCCAGCGAGAAGAGGGATGCCCGTGGGCGTCACCTGGGCTTTTTGGGGCAGTTTCGCCGAAGCCTTGGGCTTCTTACAAGTTGGGGCTTAGGGTTTAGGGTTTAGGGTTTAGGGTTTAGGGTTTAGGGTTTAGGGTTTAGGGTTTAGGGTTTAGGGTTTAGGGTTTAGGGTTTAGGGTTTAGGGTTTAGGGTTTAGGGTTTACGGTTTAGGATTTAGGGTAGGACTTAGGGGGCCCCTGAGACGCCCTAAACCCCGAAGCCTGAACTCCAAGACCCTTCGTAGCCCTAAGAAAACCCTAAACTTAGCGGCTGACACGCTAGCCCAAAAAAGGTTAGCCTTTAATATGTAATAGGATTCTATATAACCAAAAAGGTTAAAGGTTACCTACAAGTACACGACAGGTCTGCCAGGTTGCGGGGAGAAGAAAAGTAAATCGAAACAAATTGGACTTGGGGCTTGGGGCTGACTTGGAGGTTCATGGGTAGCTATGAAGCTGGGCTAGAAGTAGGGTAACTCTACTTATAACCTTGCAGAGGGTGCTTATTATCCATGAACCTCCTTGAACCTCCAAGGAGGGTCTCGGGATTTGGGGCTTGTGGTTTTGGGTTTTGGGTTTGGGGGCCTGCTAAGGGCCTTGTTCGCGGATTCTGCGCCCTTACACACGCCCTCCCTTACAGCCCCTGGATCCTCATGGTAAACCATTTCGATCAAAAACGGAAACCTCAAATCCCAAACCCGAAAAACCTTAAAACCCTAAACCCTTGAACACCCCGCAACTCCCCCAGAAGGGTGCACGGCAACGCTGCTTTGCATGGGGTTTCGGGTCGCACGGGTTTATGCCTACCTGCCAGCTGTGAGGGCCACAACATTACAAGTATGTAAGGTTTAGGGTTTAGGAGGATAACTTTTCGGCCCGGAACACAAACTCCACAACTGCCCAAGCCTTCAGCAGCCTCTGAACCCCACCCAAAAAACTTCACCAACCCAGACCCCTATACCCGAGACCCTAAACCCTAAACCCTATCTAAAACCAAAAAAAGACTAAACTTGGGACCCTTGCGATGGACACATCCTCGAACGCAATAGCGGGGCCCTCGTTGAAGGTCGCGGCCTGCCGTTCTATGAGGGGTTCAGGGTTTAGGGCTTAGCGTTCAGGGTTTAGGGTTTAGAGCTTAGGGCTTAAGGATTAGGGCTTAGGCTTTAGGGCTTAGGGTTTAGGGTTCAGGGTTTAGGATTTAGTGTTTAGGGTTTAGGGCTTAGGGCTTAGGGCTTACGGCTTCGGGCTTCGGGTGCGCGTTTGTGAACAACAAGCCTACGCAAGAACTTGGGCAAGCCTGTGCGTGCGCAGTTTTAAGTCATGGCTTACACACGTACATGGCATGCCCTGCCGAAGCGAAACCTACGCAAACCTACGCCTACTATGCGGACCGGGCCGGTTCGTAGCCCAGCATCCGTCTCGTAATGCAGGGGCACCCTTCTTACTTCATAAGGGAACCCAGCGTAGCCCCCTCATGAAACGTTAAACCCCAAATCCGACATGTTTCCGGCGAAAGCACATATGGCTTTGTGAGGAATACTTAGTATCTGTTAGGGGCTGGGGAACTTTAGGGGATTCGAAGGCAAGAACCCACATTAAACCCAAACCTTGGGACGCTCCCCCTTATACTAACAGTCCTTCATAGGGATTACAATAGGGAGTGCAACAATCCCTTCTCAGGACTGTTAGTACAAGGGGGAACATCCCTACCCTAAACAAACCCTAAACCCTAAACCCTAAACCCTAAACCCTCAACCCTCAACCCTCAACCCTCAACCCTAACCAAAAAAGCCCTGGACTGGCCTCCGCCTCCTCCGATGCGAGAGTGCTGAAGGCCGCCTCTTGTACACAGCTTCGAATAGTAGGGCTTGGGGTTCAGGGTTTAGGGTTTAGGGTTTAGGGTTTGGGGTTTAGGGTTTAGGGTTTAGGTTTTAGGGTTTAGGGTTTAGGGTTTACGGTTTGGGTTTAGGGCTTAGGGGTTTGGGGTTTAGGGTTTAGGGTTTGGGAGTAGTACTTGAAGGCTCATGGGTAGTTATGAGTAGGGTTATAAGTACACGAAATATGGTCATGAACCAGATATAGCTATGTATAGTTACCCTCTTATAACCCCACTTAAAACTAATTACCCATGAACCTCCAAATAGGGCTTGGGGTTTCGGGCTCAGGGCTTAGGGTTCTACACCCGAAACCCTAAGTAAACCCGAAACCCTAAACCCAGAAACCCAAAACCTTAAACCCGAACCGTTAGGGCTTGATGTGGCACTGCAAGGCGTTTCGGAGGGAAGCGTTCGTAGCATGGGCAGTTCTCTAAGTTAGGGTCCCTTGCGTGACCTTCTCCTTTACATGGGCGCCCTAGCATCTACCAGTAGCCTTGAGCTCAAGACGGAATCTGGAAACCCGAGTAGTTTCTGAGGATTGAAGGTTCTGCCCGAAAGTCGAAAGCCCTAGACCCTAAACCCCGAAGCCCTAAACCCTAAAACGCAGAACCGTATACCTAAGCCCCCAGCCTCAAGCGCTGGCAGCCGCCCGCCACACCCAAACCCCGCGACAAAACCGCAAAAAGCCCTGCCGTAAACCTGAACCCTCACGCCCTAAACTCCCCAAAATCCTGGGGATGACTCGAAAAGCGAACTGGCCCTTCTCAACCCTCAACCCCAAACCCGAAACCCCAAACCCGAAACCCCAAACCCTAAACCCTAAAGCCCAAACCCTAAACCCCAAACCCCAAACCCTAAACCCTACCCACCTGGAGCTCCTCGACCTGAGATAGGTCGCTCTCTCCGAGCTCTTCTTAAACGCAGACGGGTTTACTTGAAGGCTCATGGGTAGCTACAAGCAGGGTTGAGGGTTTAGGATTTAGGGTTTGGGGTTTAGGGTTTAGGGTGCAGGGGCTACTTGAAGCATCATGGTTAGTCAAAAGTAGGGTTACAAGTACCCTAAATGAGGTTTCAACTAGAGATAACTAGAGTTATCCTACTTAAGTACCCATGAACCTCCAAGCTTTAGCCACGACGTGTTTCCAGAAGGGTGCTTAGCACAGGTTTGTTGAGGGAGCTTCGGGGGCTTGACTTTTTTTGGGTGGGGGGGGGGGGGGGGGGGAGGGGCGCGGCCAGGGGGTTGGGGGGGCCGGTGGGGTTCGCGCTTTAAGCCTTAGCGTGGAGGGGGGGGGGGGGGGGGGGGGGGGGGGGGGGGCCGGTGGGGTTCGCGCTTTAAGCCTCAGCGTCAGGCTTATAAAAACTCAGGCTTAGGTTCAGTTTAGGGTTTAGGGTTCCAATTCCAGGTTTAGGGCTTAAGGTTTAGGCTTTAGGGCCTAGGGTATCCCATGTAGACCAGGTGCAGTGTCTGGGTCGTGCCAAGGTTGGTAGGACACCATTTGTCTCACTCCACAATACATCACAGGGATTTTAAGGAACTGAGAAACCCTAAACTAATCCCTGGAACAAAACTCAATGCGTAAGCTCTAAACCCTAAACCAGCCGTAAACCCCTTGTACGTTTTGCAGCTCCTGGTTTTAGAGCGGGATGGAACGCTGTAGAAACTCGAATGCGGAATGCAACGAGCTTGGCAAACTAGGCTCCAGTACTACCCCTTCTCAACCTTATGTCATGAGCCCTCTAAACCCCTGACCCTAACCCTAAACCCCGGCGGAAGGACCGCAAGGGCATTAATCCTGGGCCATGCCACCTGCCCGCCCTCTGCCCCTACAAGCGGCCAAGCCGTCTGCCAAGTCATTGGTACAGATGCGAAGGATGCGAAAGAGGCCGCGCTAGCTTCATGGGCAAGAAGGAGCCCTCTTCACCGACGGAGAGCTGAGTGGCCCGAAGGTGCCTCCAACGTCAAACCGCCGCGAGCTTCGCCACCTCTGGCGGCTCTGGGTTCGCAGGCCCTCTCTTCCGACTCGCTACACAGTGATCTCAAGAAAGAAGCACCACGGCGCGCCTCCTCACCACGATTTTCACACCCCAGCAGCACGGATTGTGCAGCCATCAATTCCGGTACGGCCATGAGGCCGGCTTCCAATTCTTCAGCCACAATGGATAAGCTTAGGGTTTAGACTTAGACTTAGGTTTAGGGCTAATGGCCTGGAATCTGTAGGCCAAGGGGCCCTGAAGAGGTTCTGCTGCGACCTCTTGTACGTCTCCATCCTCGGGCTCCATTGGGGCTCCATTTTGCTGGGGAGGGTGGGCCCTGGTTTTTTGGGGGTTGAGGTTTAGGGCTTAGGATTTAGGTTGAGGGGGTGTGCTAACAACCTGCAACTTGTGAAGCTTCGGGGAGGGCCTGGGGTTGGGGGCTTGGGCTGACGGCTTAGGATCACGAAACCACCCAAAATCCTGAACCCTAATATGAAACCGAAGCCCTCAAAACCAAACTCAACCAAAAACTCTGAACCCTAATATGAAATCCGAAGCCCTCAAGACCCTAAACTGAGCCCTGAACCCTACCCTCTCTGGAACCCCCAGAGGCCCGGAACTCCAAACCCGAAGCCCTCAGCCTAAGCCCTAAGCCCCTTAACCCTAAACCCTGGGCCCTTTACCCCAACCTGACTTGGAGGATCTTGGTCATGGGCACTTACTTGGAGGCTCTTAGGGTTTAGGGTGTAGGGTTTAGGTTTTAGAGCTGCTTGGAGTGGAACTAGAATTATTACTGATTGCAACCACTACCCTTGAACCATCAAGCACCCTAAACCCTAAACCCTAAACCCTAAACCCTAAACCCTAAACCCTAAACCGCAGTACACTAATAAGGCGTTGCCCCCTATCCAGAGCAACCCAACCTCCGCAAAACAAACCCATCAACCTGCGCGCAAGCGCCTAAGCCTCTAACTCTAGGGTTTAGGGGTTTAGGGGTTTCAGAGTTTGGGGGTTTAGGCGTTTAGGGGTTTAGGGTTTAGGGCTTAGAGGTTTAGGGGTTTAGGGGTTTAAGGGTTTAGGGGTTTAGGGGTTTAGGGTTTGTGGGTTTAGGGGTTTAGGGGTTTAGGGGTTCAGGGGTTTAGGGGTTCAGGGGTTTAGGGGTTTGGGGGTTTAGGGGTTTAGGGGTCTAGGGGTTTCGGGGTTTCGGGGTTTCGGGGTTCAGGGGTTTGGGGCCCCCCCCCCCTCCCCCTCCCCCCCTCCCCCCGGGCCATAAACCCGAAACCCGAAACCCTAAAGTTGCAGCGAAGACTCGCCATCATGAAGGTCACCGCCCCTCTTACGGCATAGAAGACCTGCCAGGGTTCGGGATTGAGGGTCTTGGAGTTTAGGGCCTAGGGTTTAGGGTTTAGGGTTTACGGTTTAGGGTTTAGGTTTAAGGGTTTAGGGTTTAGGGTGTTTAGGGTTGCTCCTAAGCCCCCCTTCGCCATCCCCCTATGAAGTAGCTGCTTTCCCAAGTCATTCGAGCGTCCTGTGTACAGCGGGTGTTAGGGATTAGGGTTTAGGGTTTGGGGTTTAGGGTTTAGGGTTTAGGGTTCAGGGTTCAGGGTTCAGGGTTTAGGGTTTAGGGTTTAGGGTTTAGGGTCTAGGGTTTAGGGTTTAGGGTTTAGGGTTTAGGGTTTTGGGTTTAGGGTTTAAGGTTTAGGGTTTAGGGCTAGGGCCTACTAGGGTTTAGGGTTTAGAGTTTGGCAAGGGACTACGGGACCCAGGGAGGTTTAAAGCAAAGCACACGCTGAGGAGAAACAGAGACATTGTGCACACGCCGCCTACGTGCGGCGGTTGCGTTCGTGGTCCCCTCCCTCACAGAGCCGACGGGAAAGAAAGCACATCAAGCAATTAAAAGAAAAAGAGAGAGAGAGATAGAAAAACAGAAAGGGGCTGAGAAACGGCCAGCACGCAATAGAGATGGAGAGGGAGTGAGAGAGAGAACCAGATAACCCTCAAAACCCTTGAAACCCTCAAAACCCCCAAAACCCTCAAAACCCTCAAAACCCTTGAGCCCTAAACCCTGAAAGCCCTAAACCTCCAACTACGGGATCCTAGGTTCTTGCTTCCCTCCCGACTATTTCGGGCTCAGGGCTTAGGGTTTAGGATTCAGGGTTTGGGGTTTAGGGTTCAGGGTTTAGGGTTTAGGGTTTAGGGCTTAGGAAACGCCAAGTTAACTCGCCTAGGGGCTTCAGGGCTTGGCTCTGACAAAAGATTCTGAAACGGGTGTCGGGCTAAGGGTTTAGGATTTAGGGTTTAAGAGTTTAGGGTTTATAGTGCAGGGTTTTGAATTTAGGGTCTAGACTTTAGGGTTTAAGGCACTTGAAGGCACATGACATGTAGAAACAGGAGAAAAATTTGCCAAGGGCCTCCCAGAAACCCAAAACCTGAAACCTTAAACCTGGAGACAGGTCCTCCTAGGGCTAACTCTAAACCCTAAACCCCAAACCGGGACCTTAGGGCCTTCGTCGGGAGCGCCAGGTGTACGGACAGCTTGGGTGGAGGGTTGGGGGGGCTTTGGGTTTTAGGGCTTTAAGGGTTTGGGGCCCTTGTGAACCCGAACCCCAAAGCCCTAAACTCTAAACCTCTAAACCCTATACCCTTACACCCCTACACCCGAACCCTAAACCCTAAACCCTATACCCCTAAACCCCTAGACCCTACCCCCTAATTAGGGTTTAAGCCAAGACCCCAGATCCTGTACTCTTGGCGTAAACCCTAAACCCTAAACGCAAAACCCTAAACGCTAAACCCTCATGCCCTCAACCTCTGAGCCCCTACATCCCTACATAGGGCTCTTTAAGGTGGCGGGATGGCTCTTCAGGGTTTAGGGTTTAGGGTTTAGGGTTTAGGGTTTAGGGTTTAGGGTTTAGGGTTTAGGGTTTAGGGTTTAGGGTTTAGGGTTTAGGGTTTAGGGTTTAGGGTTTAGGGTTTAGGGCTTTGGCGGCCCAGGCCTGCCAGAAGTCGCTGATGTTGGCGCCATACTCTAACACGACCGCCTCGCCAAGCCAGAGTATTGAGTGGCGGCTTTGAGGGCTTAGGTCTTAGGGTTTAAGGTTCAAGGTTTAGGGTTTAAGGTTTAGGGCTTAAGGTTTAAGGTTTAGGGTTTAAGGTTAAGGGTTTAAGGTTTAGGGTTCAGGGATTTTTTTTTTGGGGGGGGGGGGGACTTTAGGGTCGAAGGTCTAGGGTTTGGGGGCTGACTTCAAAGCTCACGGGGTCGACGTAACTGGGGCTAAAAGGATAGGTAACCATAGGTCTTATTGGGTAAAGCCCACCCTTCGAGTATCACCTCACTTATAAACAACGACCCAGGAACCCCCGAAAACCCTAAACCCTAAACATCCCTAAACCCGAAGCGAGGTTCGGGTGAAGGGGCTCAGGTGGGTCAGGCATGCTGTCTGGTTTCCTTGAGCTCGTGATCTCTCCTGTCGAAGGTACCTCTGGCATTGCTTCGACTCAATGGTTCGAGCTTCCGGGCTTTTCCTAGGGTTCTAGGATGTGGGGCTTTAGGGTTTCGGGTTTATGGTTCAGGGTTGAAGTTTCGGGGTGTTTTGGACTTGGGACTTAGGGGCTCATGATCCCGAGACCGATGCACGTGTCCCACGCGTGTCCTTCGCTGCCCAGGCTGCTTCACTTTGCAAAGAATGCCGTCCTTGCATGCCCCAACGTGGCAGCTCCAGCAACATCTCCATCATCTCGCAAGTGGTGGTGGCATGGCCGGTTTTCGTCGTCACCTCCTCCGCCGATGCCACCGTCTTAGGCAAGTGTTCCTGGGTTGGTATGGGCCTGACCCTCTCTTTGTTGTCAGCTTTCCCCGTTGAGGACTAGAGGGGCAGTGATGGCCGTCACCTCATTCATGATGATCCCCTCAGGCCTTCGGCCACTTTTCTTGCCCTGAGACAGGATCCTCCGAGACATACTCCAGGACGCGTCTCACCACATCAGCATCACCAGCCTTTGCCAGCCTGATCACCAACTCTCTCATCTCGTGAGCCTGAGGGCACATGGTAGTGGTCCAGGAATCTCCGGTCTCCGGAACAGTCTGGGCGTCTCCACCTTTGAAGACACCAACATTCACCTCCATGAGCCGGTGCCACCGGAGATGGAAGATGTGGTCGGCCTTGTTCTGTCTACCCGCCCCAGGCCACTGCCCAGTAGGGTTTAGGGCTTAGGGCTTTAGGGCTTAGGGTTTAGGGTTTAAGGTTTAGGGTTCATTGGGCAACTGACCAAACAGTCCTTCGATCTCAGCTCCCAGCTTGCTATATCTCTTCCTTGGCAAGGTCTTCGGCGGCAGATACCCTCCATTCATGAAGACTCGTAACATAGGGGCCTTAATAATTAGGGTTTTGGGGGGTTAGTAGAGTACACTTGTAAAGGGACCGTAAGGGAATACTAGTAATCATTCGGACCCCTGTTCTAGTAATCTAAGGTTGTACTCCCCAAAAGTTTCCCTTCATGTACCGGCCCTTTTATGTATTCCCTTAAAAGATCTTAAACACAGGGTCCCCAGCCCAAGAGTACAACCTTAGGGTCCAAAAGGTCGAGTCCCATGATACCCTGAACCTTAAACCCTACTTGGAGGTTCATGGGTAGTCATCAGGCGGGTTATAAGCAGGGTAACTATAAAGGAAAACTGGTTATATTTGAGGTGCACTTGTTATAACTACCCGTGAACCAACAAGTAGACCCTTAGGACTCAGGGCCTACATGCCGTTTCTGCTTCTTCAAAAGCTATGATTGGCCAGTAGGACTACGCGCACCCTAAAACCCTTAGGACTAAGGGCCTAAGGACCCCTTCTGAAACTTCTGCCCCTTAAACTGACCAAAAAACCCTAAACCCTAACACCCTACTCATAGCTACCTCCCTACACCCTAAACCCCAAACCCTAAACCCGGAAAACCCTAAACTCCGAAAACCCTAAACACTACACCCCATTGCAAGCCCCGAGTTCGCATGCCGCCTCGTTGGGCACCCGGGGGTCAAGGACCGGTCTTCCCGGGCCTGCCAAGGAGGTGTTCGGGCTTAGGCGTTAGGAGTTTTCGGGGTTTCAAACCCTAAACCCTAAACCCTAAACCCCAAACCCCAAACCCTAAACCCTAAACCCTAAACCCTGGGGAGGTTCTAAAGTTTGGGTCTTTTGGGGCTCAAGGGCTTGGGTTGAATCCTGACTTTGTACGCGGACACCTGGGAGGATCCGAAAAGTAGAGGGTTTAGGGTTTAGAGTTTAGGGTTTAGGGTTTAGGGTTTAGGGTTTAGGGTTTAGGGTTTAGGGTTTAGGGTTTAGGGTTTAGGGTTTAGGGTTTAGGGTTTAGCCCCCCCGTACCCTATACGATTGGGTCAGTCTTGGCAACCCTTTAAGGGATCTATGTTTGGGATCCTCCCATCTGGGTACGCGAGCCAGAATAACCCCAAATAACCCGGTCCCTTGTAAGGGTCTGTCCTTTTAGCCCCTTGCAGTCGAATCATATACCTTAACAAAAGTCCCTATATACCTAAGTAGCCCCTAAAGTAACCTTAAAAATCAAATCTTGCAACCCTGTGCCTCCAAACTATCTATCCGATGGTCGGCAAGCAACCCCTCAATCCCGAAACCCGAAGCCCTGAACCCTAGATCCTGAACCCTAAGCCCCCAACCCTATACCCTATACCCTTGAACCCTAGACCCTAGACCCTAAACCCTAAACCCTAAACCCTAAACCTAAACCCTAAACCCTAAACCCGAAACCCTAAACCCTAAACCCTAAACCCTACCCCTAACCGAGACCCTTTCACAAGCCTCGGCCCCAGAACCCTTAACCCCAAACACTGAACCGCTAACCAAAGATCCTCAGAGCCGCTATACACTCAATCCCCAACCGAAAGATAGGGATCCCTGTTACACTAAAGCCCAAATAAACCACAAACCCCTGAGCTTCTAAACCCGAAACCCCTGAGCCCTGAGCCCCTGAGCCCCTGAGCCCTCAACCCTACACCCCAAACCCTAAACGCTCAACCCTAAACCCTAAACCCTAAACCCTAAACCCGAAACCCGAAACCCGAAACCCGAAACCCCTGAGCCCCTGAATCTGGGGGAGCCGGAGTGCCGTAGGCGCGCATGGCGATGAAGGCGGCGCCAAATGAGGCAATGCTCTGCCACATGCCGGGCATGGCCTGGGGTTTAGGGTTTAGGGTTTAGGGTTTAGGGTTTAGGGTTTAGGGTTTAGGGTTTAGGGTTTAGGGTTTAGGGTTTAGGGTTTAGGTTTTAGGGCTTAGGGCTTAGGGCTTAGGGCTTAGGGCTTAGGGCTTAGGGCTTAGGGCTTAGGGCTTAGGGCTTCGGGCTTCGGGCTTAGGGTTTAGGGGTAGGGTTCAGGGTGTGGGTTTAGGGTGTAGGGTTTAGGGTTTAGAGTTGAAGGTTGAGGGCTTAAGGCTCTTTAGGGCTAAGGATTGCCGGTTTAGGGCTCCAGGGCGTTTACGAACCGAGATGCCCGGTAGTCTAGGTAGGACAACCCTTTTCAGGGAATACAAGTACTATCCCTAGGGCATGAGACCCTAAACCCTAAACCCTAAACCAAAACCCTAAGCCCTAAACCCTAAACCCTAAACCGCGTAGTACTTTGTGCTTGACATGTAGTGTAGCCTTGAGGGTTTAGGATTTAAGACTGAGGGCTTCGGGCAGTTTAGGGCTCATAGTCCAGGGTTCTGGTCTCCGGCTTCTCAGGCCATAAGGGAGGCTACTTGAAGGTTCACGGGAAGTTCTAAGTAAGGGTTTAGGGTTTCGGGTTTGGTTTAGGGTTTAGGTTTAGGGTTTAGGGTGTTAGGGTGTTAGGGTGTTAGGGTTTTAGGGTTTTAGGGTTTTAGGGTTTAGGGTTTAGGGTTTAGGGTTTAGGGTTTAGGGTTTAGGGTCTAGGGTCTAGGGTTTAGGGTTTAGGGTTTAGGGTTTAGGGTTGAGGGTTGAGGGTTGAGGGTTTAGGGTTTAGGGTTTAGGGTTTAGGGCTACTTGGAGGTTCATGGGTAGTTTTGGGTTAAGTTTAAAGTACCCTGAGCAAGGTGATAGCCCAAGCTCATCATACAGTTGTTCGATTTAGCAATCTATTTAACAACTTCCAAGCTGGGGAGTTCACCGGCATCGCTTGTTACACGTGAAACCAGCGAGCACGCAACAAGGGGCGACAACCGCTTCACAGCGATACGCCGATACGCCGATCCTTTGCCACCCTCCCCACGCACCCCCCCCCCCCCCCCAACGCTGAAACGCCGACCTCTCCCAACCCCCGCTCCCCCCCCCCCAGCCCCACATACACCGATACGCCCATGCGCCACCCGACGCGCCCATACCCCCCTCCCCCACGTACACCAATGTGCCGGACGCGCCGATACACCGACTCTATGGACACGCTTGCCCATGGCACAAGTCTTGTGTCCCCAAGTCGGATTGAGGGAACTTAGGCAAAAGGACATGATGCAGCATTATTAGGATTAACGCCTCAATAACTCTTTTGCGGGTTGGACCTTTACGCTTTATATAAGACACCACCGAAACCCGAAACTCTGAACCGGTCGCAGTCCAAATCGATGTTAAGCTTTACGGTGCTTGAATAGGGTTTAGTGTGCAGGGTTTACGGTTTAGGGTTTAAGGGTTTAGGATTTTAAGCTTTACGGTGCGCGCTCTAAGCGAACTGTCTCATCCGACGATTTTTGCCGACACGAAGGGAGAGCATACGTGCGTCCAATCCATATCCGAGTCCGACAGAGTCTCGTTCGGGGTTCTCATCGGTACGCGCAGCCAAGCTCCAGCGTCCGAGGCGTTGAAACTAAGGTTCATGGGTAGGCTTAGAAGTGGTCCGAACACGGTCACAACCAATTATAACTCAAGATATCCCAGCAATAACTTCCCACCGAGGGCCCGGCGGGATTTGAGATGTAGTGCTGAAACCTCAGCGTCAGGGAAACATTCGCAAACTGCAAAGGCTGCGGGGTTTGGAGTTCAGGACGAAAAGTTCACAACCCTAGGCCCCTTACCTGAAGGCTCATGGGTAGAGGTATGCAACGTACCCTGCGTAAGGCGGCTAGAAGCCATTGCAACTACAGATGCACTACTTGTAGCCATACGTGCAACCTCCCCAAACCCCCTACCCGGACCACTAGTCAGTTTGAGCTTGGGGTTTGGGGTTTCAGTTGCGATCCCTAACCCCCTTAGTCGAAAGACTGAAGCTCTTCCCCTAAAGACCCAGTTTACACCCGCGTCTGGCGGACGCTTCTCGATGTCGTGATGGATGGCTTCACATTCCACCCCGAAGTGCTCGTGCATGATCTCCATGAGGCAGCGAACCGTGGCGTCAGACTCTGACACCATAGCAAGATTTTGCTTGATGCCCATCTGATGCAAAACAAGGGCCTTGGCTGAGCTGCCGTCTGCCGGGTTGACAAATGTGAAACGCAGCGACAGCGACACGCTGCGCCATGCCCAAGCCACCAGAGAGTTGTAGCCGCAGCAGTCGGGACCCCAGCGCATGGTTCCACATGGGGAGCCCCCTCATACCTATAAGCCCCGAAATCCTACGACCCCCAAAAAAACTAAGATCCCAAAGCGTAGAGTATTGCTTACATGAAAACAGGAAGCGAAGCCTTGTATGACAAAATTCTTTAAGCAAGGGATGTTCGGGTGTTGGTAACTGCTTGCCCTACAGGCCCTGTCTTCCGCTGCTTCCTCTTGGTGTTGTTGCTGGACTCTTGCTGGCGGTGAACACCAGGCCCGCAAATCCAAATCCCAAAAGCCTATAACACTAAACCTCAAGCCTCATCTAAATCCCTCTAGCTCCTAAACCCCTTAACTCTACAACCCTGAACCCCAAACTGGCCCCGAATCCTAAACCCTTAACCCTATAACCCTATAACCCTATAACCCTATAACCCTATAACCCTATAACCCTATAGCCCTATACCCCTAAACCCTAAACCCCCTATAATCCTGAACCCTAAACCCTATAACTCTACAGCCCTGTAACCCTAAACCTCGCTTCAAAAGGCACCCCGCACAAAGGAGCGCAGCCGGGGACGTGGCCACTCGAAGCATGCCATGGTTGCCTGGCCAATGGTTTCAGGGTGTTAGGGTTTTAGGGTTGAGGGTTTTAGGGTTTTAGGGTTTCGGGCTTGGACTTTTTAGGGTTTCAGGGTTTTAGGGGTTGTGGGGTTTTGGGGTTTTGGGTTTTTGAGTGCTTGAAATTTTGGGATTTTGGGCTTTTGGGTTTTGGGTTTTGGGTTTGGTGACTTTGGGTTTTTTGGTGTTTTTGGGTTTCGGGTTTTAGGGTTTTTGGGTTTTTGGGTTTTTGGCTTGTTGGGTTTTGGGCTTTATGGGTTTCGTGGTTTAGCGGTTTTGGGGTTTAAGCTTGAGGGTTCTTTGTATCTAAGGGGGGTGTGAGGCTTGGGGTAAAGGTTTAAGGGCCTGAAGGCTTAGGGCTCGGGTCCATTTTGGGTTTAGGGCTCAGGGTGTCGCGCCGAAACATGGGCCTTGGGTTTTGGCGAGGGGTTAGGGTTTAGGGTTTAGGGTTGGTTAAGGGTTTAGGGTTGGTTTAGGGTTTAGGGTTTTAGGGTTTAGGGTTTAGGGTTTAGGGTTTAGGGTTTAGGGTTTAGGGTTTAGGGTTTAGGGTTTAGGGTTTAGGGTTTAGGGTTTAGGGTTCAGGGTTCAGGGTTCAGGGTTCAGGGCTAGGGTTTAGGGTGTGTTAGGGTTTAGGGGTTCAGGGTCTATGGTTGGGGGGCTACTTGAAGGTTCCGGGATACTCAGAGGTGGGTCTGCGTACTCTAGCTCGAACCACTCATAACTACACACTCATCCCCTAAACCCTGAGCCCTAAACCCTACTTGAAAACCTCATCTCTGATGAGTACCCATGAATCGTAAGCCCTAAAGCCCGACAGCCCCCAGACCCCTGGACCTCCCCGACCCCCCCTAAACCCCTAAATCCTGCAGGATTTCTGCTCAAGGCTTTGGGGGGGAGTTTAGGGTTTAGGGCTTAGGGGTCCTGACAACCAACCCCAACCCCAAACCCCCCACAGTCAGCCCAGGGTTTAGGGTTTAGGGTCCAGGGTTCAGGGTTCAAGGTTTGGGGTCTAGGGTTCAAGGTTTAGGGTTTAGGGCTTGGTGTTTAGGGTTTAGAGCAACCCGAACAACCCCCCCCGGCACCCCGCCCCCCCCCCCCCCCCCCCCCCCCCCCCCCCCCCCCGCCCCCCCCCGTTCCCCCCCGTTGCGCCCGAAACCCAAACTGCCGGAGGCGCCCAGCTGCGCCGCTCCGCAGCGGCGCGCTGGCCGGCCGCGTAGTCCAGGACGTCCTTCAGGATTTAGGGTAGGGTGTAGGGTAGGGTTGAGTGTTTAGGGTTTAGGGTGTAGGGTTTAGGATTCAAGGTTTAGGGCTTAGGGTTTAGGATTTAGGGCTTAGGGTTTAGGGTTTAGGGCTTAGGGCTTAGGGTTTAGGGTATAGGGTTCTTAAGTGTGGGGGTTCAAGGGGGGTATGAAACCCAAGGTTCCTTCATACTCCCCACGACTAAGGTTTCCCTAAGGTTCTCCATATCCCCAACAACCCCCCTCCCTTAAGAACCCTATAACCTCTTCAAGGTATCGGAATCAGATATAGTATATAGTACATGGGTCGAGTTTTTGGCTTACGGCTTAGGGTTTAAGGTGCAGCTGAATATGAGAAGCGTATGTACTCTTAATGTTCTGGAATTCTCTGGGTGGGTGCGTACCTCTCCATCACACGAAGCAAAAGCTTGACTAGTGAAAGCTAGTACATGAGCTGCTGAACTCCTAAACCCTAAACCCTAAACCTAAAAGCTAAACCCTAAAACCCCAATGTCATGCGCCTGCACCACCTGAGGAACTTCTCCCTGAACACGGCTGGGTCTGCGTCCCGCTGATCAAAGAAGCGGATGAACTGGAGGACTTCTGCGTTGAAGTCAGCCGACAGGCCAGCCATCACTATAGACTCAGGCGTGATGCAACTCAACAGACGCATGGCGGCTGTCACATCCTTGGCCTCAGTGCCCATGTCAAGGTCTTGCCGCCAGCGCCAGCATGACAGGCCCACGAAGAAGCGCAAATCTGCGCTTCGGAGTGCTTGCGCTTTCCCACCTGTGCGCTACTGAAAGTGCTTGAGCACACCATCGACAACGCCTGCGAGACGGCCTGTCTTGCGTAGACCTTGTTGTATCACGCTTAGGGCTTAGAGTGTAGGCTTTAGGGCGTAGGGTTTAGCGCTTAGGGCCTGGGGCTCGGGGTCAGGGATGGTGGAAAAAGCTCAGGGCTTCGCCCTTGTCCCCTGATATGAGACAAAAAGCCACCACATGCCTTGGGATGTTCACCTTTATGCTAACAGTCCCTAATAGGGATTATAGTACCCCCCCCCCCCCACATGATAATCCCTATTAAGGACTGCTAGTATAAGGAGGAACATCCCAAGGAAGCCCCTTGGTAAGGGACCCTCAATGAAGAGCTTCCTCTTAGAATCACATTCCTTACAAGGGCTCTAAAGCTCCGGGGAAGGGATTGGAGATACCTGCACTTCAACTAGAGTCTCAAGCCGGGTCTGCAGTTCAAGGGTTTAGGGTTTAGGGTTTAGGGTTTAGGGTTTAGGGCTTGCAGGGATTGCAGGTTTTGGAGAGTCTACAGGGTGGACGAGCCGTTCATAGCCGTGTTGTCTCCCGAACTTTCAGCAACATGTCAGTGACCATGAACAGCTCCAAGAATGTGGCCGGCTTGCGGTTTAGGACTGTGGGGCAAAATAATTAACATCAGAATATGATGAGAACCTATTAATAGTGTAAGAATAACAACCATTATCGAGTAGATATAAAATGAATGAAAATGTCTTCATATCACAAGAGTAAAGACAATAATAAGAACAATACTCACCGAAATAATGATTAAAAACCATAAAAGCCCTAACCTCAGCCCTAAGCCCTGAAAACACCTGAACAGCCAAGCTAACCTTCTGAACAAGCTCCCTAAAATCCCCAAACCTCCCGCCCCCATACTAAACCCTAAATCCCTAAACCTTCCCTCCCCCACCCTAAACCCGAAACCTAAACCCTAAACCCTAAACCCTAAACCCTAAACCCTAAACCCTAAACCCTAAACCCTAAACCCTAAACCCTAACCTCCCGGGAGCCTTCTCAAAGTCCTCGCCCTTTAGCATGGCTACGCCTTGGCGGCTTCTTCTTGAAGAAACAGAGGGGGGTTGAGGGTTTAGGGTTTGGGGTTTAGGGTTTAGGGTTTAGGGTTAGGGTTTAGGGCTTAGGGCTTAGGGCTTAGGGCTTAGGGCTTAGGGCTTAGGGCTTAGGGCTTAGGGCTTAGGGCTTAGGGCTTAGGGCTTAGGGTTTAGAGTAGAGGGGTTAAGGGCTTTGGGGGCTTTTTTGGGATTGGAGTTTGGAGCTTTGGGGCTTCAAGGGGGCTTAAGGTTTTGGGTTCAGGGGTTTTGGGGCTTAGGGACTTGGGGTGGCCATGAGGCTTGCTAGCTTTGTATATTCTAGGGAAACAGGGCAGAGGGTTTTATGGGGGTTGAGGGCTTCGGGGTTTCAGGGTTGAAGGTTCAGAGTCTTGGATGTCACGTGTTAAGGGCATAGTGGCCTAGGGTTTACCCCAAACCCTAAACTCTCAGCCATAAACCCAAAACCCTAAACCTTCAGGAGTCGGATTGGGTTTCACGTGCAGAAAAGAAGTCGGCCACAGCTGCTTTTCGGGAATCGATTGCGGTTCTGGTCCCGGGGGAGTCTGGCGAACCCCCCTATGGCTCCCACCCTTCGCGGCGCATCGTTCTTTAGGGTCTTCAGGGTCTTCAGGGTTTAGGGTTTAGGGTTTAGGGTATAGGGTTTAGGGTTCTAGGGTTCTAGGGTTCTAGGGTTCTAGGGTTCTAGGGTTCTAGGGTTTGGGAAAGGGGAGGGGCAAGAGCGCTCCAGCCCCCTTTTAACGATGGGTGGGCGGACGGGGGCCTTGCTTTAAACCCAAATCCCCAAACCTGAAACTCTAAACCCTAAACCCTCAACCATAAACCCTAAGTCCTAAACCCTAACCCCTAAACCCCGAAAACCCTAAACCCCTAAAACCCTAAACGCGAAACCCCAAGCCCCCAATCCTAAAACCTCCCTCACGCAGCCGAGGGCTGAGGAAGATCAAAAGGGCTGGACCTAAACCCTAAACCCTAAACCCTAAACCCTAAACCCTAAACCCTAAACCCTAAACCCTAAACCCTAAACCCTAAACCCTAAACCCTAAACCCCAATCCCTAAACCCTAAACCCTAAACCCGAAACCCTAAACCCATTGCGCAAGCTCAACTTCCAACGGGGAGGGGGGGCGGGGGGTTGCTGTAAGCCGTGGGTCTTAGGGTTCGGGACCCTAAACCCTAAACCCTAGACCCTGACGCTTTCGGGTTGAGTCTCTAGGGCAAGTTCTGGGCTCAAAAGAGCGTAGGGCGTAGGGTTTAGGGTTTGGGGTTAAGGGTTTAGGGTTTAGGGTTTAGGGTTTAGGGTTTAGGGTTTAGGGTTTAGGGTTTAGGGTTTAGGGTTTAGGGTTTAGGGTTTAGGGTTTAGGGTTTAGGGTTTAGGGTTTTAGGGTTTAGGGTTTAGGGTTTAGGGTTTAGGGTTTAGGGTTTAGGGTTTAGGGTTTAGGGTTTAGGGTTTAGGGTTTAGGGTTTAGGGTTTGGGTTCTCCTGTAACAGCATGCTGCCCTTCTGCTCGGATGCGCAGTCTCTGCTGGGGGGAGCGCCGCTGCCGGGAGAAGTCCTACGGACCCTTTCCCGGTGCACTTTCTCAGACGTCAGGGAGGCAGTTTAGGGTTTAGGGTTTGGGGTTTGGGGTTTAGGGTTTAGGGTTTAGGGTTTAGGATTTAGGTTTAGGGTTTAGGGTCCCCCACACCTCCCCGCCAAGGGGCACCCCAAAGAATTTAAGACCAGGGCCGGGGGACACCTATGAAAGGAAGCGTCCACCCGACCTCGCAGCGGACCTTGCATGGACATGACAAGCATAGCTTAGCGAGTTAATGCAGTAGCTTTGGGATTAGGGTTTAGGGCTTCTGGCTTAGGCGTAGGGTTGAATGTTTGGGAGGCCCTGAACCCTGAACCCTGAACCCTAAACCCTAAACCCTAAACCCTAAACCCTAAACCCTAAACCCTAAACCCTAAACCCTAAACCCTAAACCCTAAACCCCGTCCCTGGCATTGACGAGGACTCTCCTCATGCAGGGTTTGCCCGACGCGGGGTTCCGCAGCTCGGGCCACTCTTTGGAGGTCATGCTGAGTTCATGCTTCTCAAAAGAAAATGTTGAGGGTTCAGGGTTTAGGGTTTAGGGTTTAGGGTTTAGGGTTCAGGGTTCAGGGTTTAGGGTTTAGGGTTTAGGGTCTAGAAGTTTAGGGTTAAACCCAAGGTGGCCAAGACGACCCTGAAAGCCATCAACCCCAAAGCCCCCCAGAGCCCCCCACGGTTTCGGGTTTTAAGGCACCCTAAACCCTAAACCCTAAACCCTGAAGGCTTAGGGGCTTAGGGCTTTACACCCTTAGGCTGCCGACAAGCCTGAACACTAGAACCTCACAGGTCGCGCCCCCCAAAGCCCCAGAATGCCAACTTTGGCGATTTAGGTTTAGGGTTTAGGGTTCAGGGTTTAGGGTTTAGGGCTTAGGGCTTGGGGTTCAGGGTTGAGTTTCGAGGGCCGCGCGGTTCCTTGGTGAGGGCTGTTAGGACGTAGGGCTTTGGGGTTTAGGGATGTCTGGACCGAGGGCCTATGACGTCCAGTCTAGAAAACAGGCTGGGGGGTCTGCGGGCTGGGGCTTCGGGGTTTAGGGCTTAAGTGTTTGGACCTAGGTTTGGGGTTTAGGGCTTAGGGTTTGGGCTGCGGGATGTAGGGAGCCACAGTAAACCCCCTGTGGAGCAAGCCCCGCGGCTGTTAACTTCCGAGTGGTGGGAGATTCTCCCACCCCCCGGAGCAAGTCTAAGAGAGGCGTCCGGTGCGCAGGACCTCTTTGAGGGTGCGAACTCTGTTGTAAAACCCTTTAAGTCTCAAGCCCCTATACCCCAGAAAGACCTAACCCCTAAACCCCCCCAAGCCCCTAAACCCCGAACCCTGAACCCCTTGAACCCCTACACACCTAAAACGTGGTAAATCGTGGTAAGATGATGATAGGGGAATCTCAGTTTCTAGGGTCTCCTTGAGGCACCCCCTCATTTTTTGTCATGTATATGTACTTTTTGTATACATACAAAAGAGGGACCGCATACAGACACTTGTCATTCAACCTCAAGGGATAGAATAAGGGAAGTAGCATCTACGACCTAGACCCCAACCCCGAACCGTGTTGCGCTGCAGATGAGTACCTGGCGGCTTACCTAGGAATAAAAAGGGTGCCCTTGTTGGATTTAAGGGGATTGTAAGGGAACCCCAACCCGAAAAAACAAATAAATAAGGGCCTACTCCAGGTCCTAGGGCTTTTAAGGGCTCAGCGATCAAGGCGTAGGCTTTTCCCCCGAAAGCCTGCGCGCCGGAGGCCCCGAATTTCGGACTCACAGCTGCGCCCCCAGCTGAGCACCGAGCGTCTCCGCCCATCGGCCAGGTCAAGGCTGTGATTTGACTCTATGGTCCTAAACTCTAACCCCTAGCCCCTAACCCCTAAACCCTAAACCACTCTCAACCTCTGACCCGTGAACCTGCGAACTGCAATCGACGTGCTTGAGAAGAGGAATCGCCCCAACTGGGGCGCAGCTGCGGCCGGCGACATCTTTGATGTGCTTGGCCCCGAATGACATTTACGCGGCAGGCAACTTTCTGGCGTGGGGGTCTAGAAGGCCTGTTTGAGCTGAGGGTTCGGGCTTTTGACGTTTAGGGCACATAGGGCTGCAGCCAGAAAACTACCCGTCTGGAGAGGTGGAGCTAAATCATGGACATTTTAAATGGGTTTAAGGTTCCTCTTGGGGACTCAGTTATCCTATGTCCTGATACTTGGGGGCCCAGAAGAAAGGCCCATGACGTAGAGCCCCAGGTGATCCTCACGGCATCTACGCGGCGACCGGCTCCTCCTTCTTCTCCTCCGCCGTCGGATCGGGGGCCGCATTCGCGGCCTCCGCCGCCTCGTCCCTCTTCTCCGCGGGTTCCGCCGGCTCCGCCGGTGCGGGCGTGGCTTCAGCCTGCTCTTCCTTCTTCTCCTCCGCAGGAGCCTCTGCAGCCTCTGCAGGAGCCTCTGAAGGAGGAGCTTCCGCGGGAGCATCCGCAGGAGCATCCGCAGGAGCATCCGCAGGAGCATCCGCAGGAGCATCCGCAGGAGCATCCGCGACTGGAGCCGCCTCTTCCTTCTTCTCCTCGGCGGGGGTCTCGGCTGGCTCCGCTGGAGCTATCTCTGCCTCGGCCTCTTTCTTCTCCTCCAGGCGGGTTTAAGGGCTTCAGGGCTGTCAGGGTTCAGGGGCCTAGCTAAGTAGAGCGGGTATTTTGGGGCAGCAGCTAGTGGGATTACAATAATTTATTTAGAACTAGAATGGATAACCCAAAAACCCGAAGATTCCCGTCTGCCATCCGAATTCTCAAGGGGTCCTCTGCCGGCGGACTCGCCGCTTCCGAGGCTTCGTCTGCCTTCTTCTCCTACAGACTCAGAGAGGGGTTTAGGATTTAGTTTAGGGTTTAGGGTTTAGGGTTTATAGGGTTTAGGGTTTAGGGTTTTGGGTTTTGGGTTTAGCTCAGAGAGGGTTGTGGGCTTTGGGGTTCGGGTCTAGGTGTGGAGGATCCGAAATCCTAAACCCCAAAGGCCCTAAACCCCTGAACTCCTACATGCCTGAATTACAAAACACCCTGAACCCTAAACCCTAAGCCCCCAACCCCTCAACACTAAACCCTACACCCTAAGCCCTCAACCCTAAACCCTCAACCATACTTCGAAACGGTTCGCCTCTGCTGCCGGCTCAGCTTCTGGAGAAGAAGCGGCTGCCTCGGGCGCCGCAGCCGCCTTGGGACTAAAAATAGGGGGTACCACAATCCCCAGAAGTTGAGGGCTTAAGGGCTTTGAGGGCTTAGTGGAGAAGCAACACCCTAAACCCTAAGCCCTAAACTCTAAACCCTAAACCCTAAACCCTACAGTAAACCCCCTTTGGCCGCCTCGGCGGGCGGCTCTTCGGTCGCCGCAGGCACCAGGGCCTCGCCTTCGGCGACGCCTTCGGCGGTCGGCGGGGC